AAAACTCTAAGCAAGGGCTTTCTCATCTCAGAAACCCAGGAAAGTTTGCCATAATTCTGTTAATTGCAAATAGCATGGGACTGGCAGAGACCCGAGTTCTGTTCTTCTTCTTAAGGCTTATTAAAGTCAAACTTATCTTACTTAGATTCAATGTCAGAAAAGCTTCTGGAGTTTCCAGTTCTTAAAACCCAGGAAATGGGGTGTGGGGGGGCAAGAGATCAATCAGGCAGAAATCATCTACATCGTTTCCCCTGTGGGCCACAACCAAGGGGCCCATAGCCTGTAAGTCAACCCAAGGAACTCTCTCTATTCCAGTTAAAGCTTCCTTTAAAAGCTCCCCTCCTGACAAACACATCCGCAGCTCTTACATCCCATCCACAAGAGAGTCGCAACAAAGGTATGTACCAGCAAGGAAACCACAGAGCTTGTTAACAGCCTCTTCCCTCCACAGAAGCCCTCCCAGCCAAATCCCATACCCAAATGTGTGCTCCCCCAGATTTCACCCAGTGTGAAGACTAACAAAGCAGTAAATAGAACAAAGAGCTGATCATGTGGCCATAAAACTTGCTACCCTTGAAACACCTGGAAAACAAAGATTTAACTCTGTGGCAGGCAAGACTCACTGAATCCCATGTTTTACAGCATATCCAGTTACTTGTGTGCCTTGAAATTATTGTGATAAATGTCAGAGCTCATAAAGGTAGTGGACAGCAGCATTGGCCAGCCACACTCAGCACCAGTCAAGATTCCTGCACTCAGTTTGGCTGCTTCACTTCATTCCTGACTTACAACACCCTCATGACTTCAGTCCTGAGCAGACCACCTCAGTTCTACCCAGAATAGCTTACTGGTTTACACTGGTGCCTAGCTGCCCTTCCTCTGTGCTCTTTCAGAGCCCCTTGTGACTACCTCCTATGCCACAACAAACCAATTTTTAGGACACACAACTGTAAATTTTCTCATATACTTCCTTCCAGGCCCAGAACTGAGCTTGAATCTTCAAAATCCTCAGGCCAACACTTAGACAAAATCCTCCCCAAGTTCTGGGGAAGCTGACAGAAAGCTCAGGTTAGCCATTTATCTCTGCAAAGCCCACACGACACATAACCTTCTCTGGAAATGTAAATAATAAAAAGAGAAAGCAGAGGAACCTTTTCATGCTACATAAAGCCTTATCCAACAGATCATGTCTCATTACACCATGTTAGATTTCAACATGTCCAGAATATAACGTTGCACCAACAATACCCGAGGTGAGAGATTAAAGTGTTACTGATTCCTCTTGCAAAACTTTGAGCAAAACCCCTTTAAGTAATAATTCTACTAATGTATCACCTACTTCCCATCTCCCTTTCTCTTAATTCATTTTGACCGTGGATACATGCATGAAAATACAAGCTTTGTTCTTCCAGTACTGCTAACCTGCTGCTTAATCTCAGGCCTGTTATAAGGATCCTCCTCCAGTCATGTCATCACCAAGGCTCGTTAAAAGGTGACTTTGATGTCACTAATCGTGACATCAGTTGGGGAAAGAGCAGCCTGAAAGAAATGAACAAAACCCCATTAACACAGCAGTGTCCCTCATCAAGAGGAGCACAGAAAGGAAATGAAATGCAGTTCCAGATGCCCTGACCTGGGCTGATGTTCTAAATTATTTCAAGCTGAGATTTGAGCCTTGCCAGCTGTAAAGGGACAGGGCATTGAAACAACACAGGGCTAGGATTTTATAAGGAGTCAAAGGGAGTTATATACACAGCATGTGAGAAATTCAACCTAGATCCAGATCTTGACTGGAATTTTTCTGGCTGTGCTTCTGCATACCTCTCTTCCTTCTACCCCAGGGCCATTAAGACGGATTTTTTTTCCCCTTATGCCCAAATACAGCGTGACTTTATCAGGAGCATTACACAAATCAAAGGGTTAAGTTTACCCCAGGGCACAGTAGACAGAAACCAAGAAAGCTAAATTCTCCCTCACAACTTAATTAGCTGTGGCCACTACAGGGTATTCTGTGAGTCAAATGATGAGTAAACAGGAGCACCATCACAGACGCAGCTCTTCCACGTGTGTCATGACTCCATCCTGCCCTGGATACATCTGACATATCCAAGGCTGCATAGCTACGCAAAGCCACAAAGAAGACAGGATATGGTGTGATGTACAATGAATATATTAAAGTATGTTTGTAAAAAGCATCAGCTACTGAGATCACAGAAAACATGAGACTGATCTGAGACAGAATCTGTGTGTTTTACTCCTCTCCTAAAACTTTTCTTCTGGTTATCAGTCTTTCAGTTGCCTTAAGATAGAATAATTCTTTCCTCCCCATCTGAAAACTGCTGTCTGTTTGCTGACCCTGCTTTTGGCTAAATGCTCCAAAAGCAGATGCATCTTAAGACAGAGGCAAAATACACAGTCTGGCAGGACCAGCTGTTGTTTTCTAGAATTATCAATGAGCTGTTCCTTTCT